TGCAAAGTATAATTACGACTGGTGCAGATTCCTCAAGCGTAACGTCAGCTTCTCGCTACAGTCGCTGAAGACAGAAGAAGTCATCCTTGTCCACTTCTTGGACATCCATCGCAAGATTTCCGACGTTTCAAACCCTGTGTTGAAAGGCTTACATCATCTCACGTCCAGCCTCACTAAATCCCACCCAGCGTATGGAGCCTAGCTTCTCATAATTAATTCGATCCAGTGTATTCGTCAATAGTTCGATAAGACGCGGCATGACGGCTGTCTGCCCTGTCTGAGGGCAAGCAGAGGGCATTTTGAAGCGCGCGATGCCGGTCCTCGTGTCAAAACAAAACTCGCAAGCCTTCCGGCGCTGCGTTGTTACACCGTACACGTCAAGGCCGCGGTACGCCAGTGCAGTGGTCAGATGGCTTACGGGTGACAAGAGCCTCACAGACACACATCGCGAACATCTGCCCGACCACGAAGCGGGTATGTCCACGTCACTTTAAACAAGTCGTTGACATGTGCCATCAGTTCAGCTTTCAGGCATACGGTCGCACCATGTCCACCGCAGCCAGAGGTCATGGTGTGACGTCAGACAACAGACGAAGGTTCCCGTTGGCCCAGTCTCTCAGTGGGGAACGGTAATGCCCAAGCGCTTGATAACATTGACCGCCTGGTTCCAGTCATTCGCTCAAGTTTCCGCCCTCTCCAGGGCGTTTATTTTCGGGAAAAATTCTATGTCATTTAGATAATCTAACTCAGGATATGAGCTTCAGTAAAACAGCGTCCGAGAACGCTGTTCAGAGGGGACCGCAGTTCCCCAAACCCAGAATATATGGAAGCAAACAGTTTGGATGTAAGTGGACCGAAAGGCCCAGTGCCTGCCATTTTCTGCCTGTCAACACGTCTATCAAGCTGATGTGCACCCACCGCCCTCAATAAAAAACACTGTCCAGACTCCAGAGGTCTGCTCGGTTTAGTTCCATGAGACGAAATGGTGGGCGCTCAAGCAGCTGGCGCGCTCTGTACATTTGCAGGAGACGAAAAAGGAAAAATCGAACCGACCCATGCATTTCTGTTCAGAATGAAACACTGCAGCGAGAGAGCTGCGTCGCAAGCTACCCAGGCAGCTGGTTTAGGTGTGGTGAATATCAAACACAAGCACAATCCACGATTCGCAAACCACGAGTTCTATTTTTCTCCACCATATAATTTCCAAATGGTGTTAAGCTACATGCAATAAATATTCGCTTTTCGATGTGCAATATATATATATATACATATATATTGGACATTAATATATATATATATATATAAATATATATATATATATCGCATATAGAAAAAAAAACATCTGCCAGCATTTCTCTTGCAATGTTCAATGCCTAATAACTATGGCTCCAACGCACCCTAGATGGTGAGAGTGCTGCCCAGAGAGGTGCCCTCCGCCTGACGATATCTTCTTTATGGTGCCTGGGTATATCGGCGCAGAAAGATAATGGTCACAATGCCGTGTTATGGCCTCAAATTATGGGGAACGGGCGTTCCCGACATCGATCTATATGGTCCATTGACTTAGTAATGAAAAGCTAAAAGCTGGGGTCTTATCGGCATCGTTTCTCTGCAGTCCAGTAAAGCACGCTGCAATGTCTTGAGCGCACGGAGGCGTTTCAAACGAGTTGCAAGCGACGCTACTAGCCGAGGCCGGCGCTGTTCGCCAAATGCGTGGGGTAGGCTGGCACTGATCTTCCTAATCCTAACAGGATTGTGCTTTTCCTGCTGATGTTCTTTGCATGTTTGGAGTAAGTGCAAGAGCACGGATTACTCTCATCCTTTCTAAATGTACGTTCACGTCCTTGTGTAAGGGCAGCCGCGCGCGCGCGCAGATGCTCATGTACTAATGTGTACGGCATTTCTGTTGTTGTACGCCTTCGTACAGTGCCTTGAGCGCGACTGAATGCCTTCATGTCCGGGCTCCATTATTCTAGCATGGAATATCAATGTATTTGGTGGCACAGTTTTTGCAGATTTCAAAGTCTTTTGTTATAAAATTCAAAGTTTATTAAGGTGGACCCTTTAATAATATTTGCTGTTGTAAATCTGCTTTCGTAGTTATTCACGAAAGCAAATGATTTCTAATTGAAGGAAGCAATGTCAGCAAAGACATAACCTCACTTTGTAACGCTAGCTTCAGACCTGACCTGATACCCCTCCCTACCCCTTCCCCGGCAAGCTGTGAGCCGCCGTCATGTCCAGCATCCACTCCACATCCGAGGCCGGTGTCTGACCGTCCCGTGTGGACGTGGCAGCGCGCGGCGGTGCACCGCCCACACCCCCTCGCCGCAGTCCGCGCGACGCCGCCGGGCGATAGCGCGATGAAGCGCCGCCGGCGCGCCGCGCGCGGCCCTTATCTGCTCCCGGGGAGCGGCGCCGGCCGTCGACAACGGGTTCGGCCGACGTAGCCGGAGCCGCTGACGGCGCCGCCGGTCGGACCGAACCCCGCCAGACGCCTCCGGCTGTGCCGCCGTCAGCTGGGTCAGAGAGGAGCGATGGGCGAAGGTGGGCTGGCGCGGCTGCTGCGAGGGGCTGGGCGGCTGGGCTGGAACGCCGGCAGTGATGTCGATTGTTTATCGAGGGAAATGTGTTCGTGTCGGGTAAAATAACCAATATTTATGCATGGATTTGGGTGTATAAAAATGTGTTTTTCTGTACTTTTCCTGGAACGAACACAAATTTTGACTCAAGTGAACCGTTTTGCGTTGAGATAGGGCTTTCCACAATGGAACGATGGGAAGCGAATCGGAAGAGTTCGCCTAACCATTGGACGCATTTAACAGAGATCTCTTTGGGCTAGTTAGATCGTTGTAAATTGCCTTTCTATCGGTGACTTCAATAATTCTCAGGACGGGACGTTCATTTTTTTACCTCAGGTCTGTCGCATTTATCAATATCAAATTTGTAGCTGGCATCTAGTAGCAAAAGCTATTTGAAACTATTGGTGCTCGCTCGACGTAGCTAAATTACAAGACTAATGTCTTGAATTGCGCACCGTGTATGGCGTATTGTGTCAATACAAGAACGATTTTTGAAGTGCATCATAACTAACTGCCTCTTGTGAAGTACTGGGTCTGTGTCTGATTTCATAAACGTTTCAAAGTAATGTGAATGAACCGGTCTCACCAAGTCATACAAGGGCAGGCTGTACGAGTATATATGTACATACAAACTGGTCAGATGTGTGTGCATGCATACAAATAAACAAAATGTAAGTAAGTAGTCAAGTTTAGCGTCCTTTACTGTCTTTTCAAAAGGGTTTACTCCGATTACAGGGGACAGTCCCACCGCAAAATGGCATTATGGAAAAATGACGCCCATTTGACATTTTGTAGTCGCCTTTGCTAAGTTCTAAGCACGTGCTCGGAGCTAAAAAGCCCTGTTCCTGTACAAGCATAAACAGTACACCTGGCCTTTTTAAATGCACTTTGGGTGAGTAGCGTGCATGGAAAAGTCCAAAGCATAAACTTTTCTTTTGGTGACCCCGCCTCATCAGCCAAATGGGTCAGAAGCTATCCCCAAAATGAACTGCAAGGCTTCACACCCCTGTGAATCCGTCAATCCCAAGTCGTTTGGCGAAGGCAAGGTGACAGTTGTGATAGCATTCGGACACGAGAACAGACCCATAGCCAGACCAAACCCCGCTGGGCGCATCAGCGTCACAGCATGCAGACATGAGACTGTCATGATTAGACATTTAGTATGTAAACGTCTCATCTCATTATCAAAAAAACCTGAGCCTTTTCAATGGATGTCTGGGATCAGAGCTCACACTAAACAGTGCTTGTTGTGCGAGCCCTAGCCCTACCATCCAATCGTGCAATGCCAGGCCAACGCCAGGATTTGGTGGCGAGAGTTTAACGTCCCGCAAGGCTGGGCACGTTCCGTCCTGCCCTCCGACGTCAGCCGACCCTCCAACGCAGCTGTTGCTACCGGCCGCAGGCCGTACCTGTCAAGGAGAAATAGTGAGCACCTAAAGCAACTCGGACCCACCGGACCACGGGTGGGTGGATCGAGAGCCAAGCGATCCAACCAACTGAACCCATCTTGCCCTGAGTGGGTGGATCGGGAGCCAAGTGATCCAACCAACTGAGCTTTCCGACGGACAAACCATAATGGGACATTCTTGATTTCCAAATAGTGCTAAGCCTGTAAATAACCATTAACTTAATCATACACGCATGCTGTGAGGCATTACATTCCGCGGTGTTATTGCATAAGCACCAGAAGTTTTCAGTCATTCCCTGGACAAATCCTAAGACCATCGAGGCATCCGTCGATTGGACTGCCATACATGAACATTGTACCCTTCCAGCTCAAGAAGCGCAAGCACTGTAACGTGATACTCTGATTTATGTTTCCCATTTCCGTCTCTCAATACCTGACACGTGAAAATGATCCGGGTTTTAAACCGTTTAACCTCTACCTTTGCAGTCATCTTACCATTGGTGGAAAAATTAAATGAAACCCAGTATGCATAATAAAAGTACAATTGAAATTGTTTTCGGAATAAAGTAATTTACCATAATTTTGTTTGCCACATTTGGGGCTCATGGTGCAGATTCAGCTTCGTGCAAACGGGCGTTTCCCACTAATTTCGGTCCTAAATTTGTCGTGGTCAGTCTTCCCTCAGTTATAATCTTGGGTTGTTATTATATTTATCCCTTCCCCTATTGTTTGTGCCTATAGCTGGAATGCAGCGGCTTTGTAATAATGTGTGGCGACCTGTTGCAAAGTGGCTCAAAGCGAGCCAGTTCAACTCCACGAGCAATTCTGATGCCATGGAAACACCCTCATCCTAATGAACGCCGTTACCCACGAAGTCGGGAGCCACGCGGAGAACGGACGTTGTCAGATCTCATGAAAACCACTGCCGATCAGCGGTGGCGAGCCGTGACGTCCCCAGCACCACATGGCGCGACATGCTGAGAATGGCTAGACACGAGACGGAAGGGCCATCACGGCAGATGCCGTCGCGACGTGCTGGTGCTATTCATTCGAAGGTCAAAGTCGTGTAGTCTGGGACGACTTCCCCAGCACCCCGCCTGAGTCGTCACCGGCCGCGGATTGCTCCGTTCGTCCCGCTCGGAGCGTCTGACGGCGCGCAACAGGAGACCCCACGTCCCATTGTCGGCACATTTTCACCTTCCAGCGGACAAGAGGGCGGCGAGCTTTCGCGCTGCGCCATTGTCGCCGCAAATGGCCGCTTTCAGACCGGGTGGCAGGCAGCAGCGCGTCCCTTTCCGTGTGACACGGCTGTCTAAACATGAGCGACGGCTTCTGCCTTTGGCGGACGAGCGTAGACCGCTCGCTGCCTCGGCCGTGTCAGAAGGCTTCCACGACAGAGCCGGGCTGAGCCGGATGGTGAGCGCTGGGCGACACCGCGTGAGATGCAAGCATGCTGATGTATAAACGTTGGCATTCGCGCGTAATAGCGGATGGTACCACGACATCCATTGCTCCGTATCTCGCAAATATGTGAGAGGTGCGGTAGGTGTGGTAGGTAGGTATGCGTGGTATGCTGGCAGGTGTGCGGTTTGCTTACGACCTACGCAACATTTGGAAATGAACGGTGAGGCCAGACCATTGAGTGACTGTTGGGCCGAACGAGGCGTTCACGGTCACGTTGTTTTAGGAAACGTTCACGATAAATTGGTAAGAGGACGTCAGCCAGGTAACCCTGCTTTCATCCGGTCAGCTTCGCTCGAATCTATGCGGGACTCAGACTGGCTCTTCACGAAGAATTTCAGAATTTTTCGGTTTAATTTTATTGTTAGGAGGTTCAACTGCTCGTCGGAATGCAAAGTCCCTCTGATACATAAAGTTCCAAGCGTATTGTCAATAGCGTACACAAGAAAGAAATGCTAACAACAAAACATTTTGTAAGGTTTAGCGGATCAACAAGACACATTACGGACAATGCTGAACACAAAAATCCACGTAAACGATGACGTTTAGTCGTTTTTGGGTCGGTAGTGGATGCGGAAGCATCAGGTTACGTTGGTAGATTTCACCGCTGCTTGATGCTCCTCATTGTCCATAAAATCCACTCATGGTCAGAAATGATAATCTCAACAAACGTAGACGAATTCAAAATACCAACGGCGCACTCAAGCACACGGCGCACTAAAGACTTGAGTGAACGGCGCACTCAACACCTGAGCCTAGCAGGCGCCTCCCAGAATGAGGCGCCTGCTAGGCTCCGGCGCTGTATTGCTACAAGGGCTGCGACATCTGATGACCTGGCTCATAATGTCGGAGAGATTGTGAAAGCACATTGGCAAGCTTCTTTTTCCCGTGACTAACGCATGATATGAAAAGGAAGGCTAATTTGATCATCGCTCAAGATCTTCAGCCAAAATTTTGCGTGCCGGTACACTGAAATCATTAGCGACCTGGAATGTATGCGAGTCTCTTTATATGTTACTGTGCTTGTTGCGCTGTGGAGAACCTGTGCGAGCTGATGTTATAATGGTGGAAAAAGGACCATTTGAAACATCAGAATAGTTGTAAGCCGTCATGTCCAACTGTTCGATTCCCATCCATATTAACTGAAATGGTTATTGTTCGCACCTATCTATGTCCCACAAAAAGCATCGTTGCCGATTGTACGGGATGCCAACGACTGAGAAAGCGGAAAATCATAAGGCGGCATAGCCTTTTGGTTAACCATCTGTCCTCATAGTGAATGCCCCTTGTAGCTCCCAGTCTTATTGCCTATTGTCACCCTTCCATACGCAGTCTTGCTTTTTGTATACATGATGTATTCGGTGCCGCGTTCGCGTTGTTTCTTTTTGTGGGAACTTTCGATGAGCTCCACTGAGAAGACAACACTGTTTTTATAAGTCACTTAGCATTGCTGTGGAAGTCAGTTTAACACCTAAACTGCCCTTTATTTTGTTGCTGGATCTGTCCTTGGCAAGGTGCTTGCGTCGCACCGCGCCTGAGTATGATCAGCGCTGACGCAATAGACCGTGTTATAACTCACTTCAGTCAAACGAAGGCCGGGTATTGGTTTCGTCAGAAAACTGTGGACAGCACATTCGTCTTGAATTGCCCGATATCGTCCTCTCAAAGTCATTGGCCCGATACAGTCCTCTCAAATTTATTGGCCCGGTATGGTCGTCTCAAAGGGCTCAAATGCTATTAGGCAAAGTCACATCAATTTCTAGTAATATTTGCAAGCTTACAAAACGCTATCTCAACGCGGGTCGGAGCGTCGTTAGCGCGGCAAAAGGAAGCGAGCAGTGTATAACCCTGCACGAAGGATGCGGTTAATTATTGTCAACCTGAGTGACAACATTTTTTTGTCCAGTACTCACTAAATCAGTTCGAGGCGAGAGGTGAGGCTTAAGACCAGCTTGCAGATCACTCACGCATGCAACACAGAACATGCCTTCAAGCAGGGCCTTTTTTTGACGTGCGCCTGCAGCCGAAGCTCTTCATTTTACCCGTTCGTTTTGAACTAAGTGAACATGGCGATGCCCCACATAGGCATATTAGAGGTCCTCTGCAACGCGCTTGTGGACAGTGCCACAAACAGGCCAAGAATAGGCCTGGTGGCTTGGAACACACGCTGAGAGGGTTGCTTTCTGTGCTGGGGCGTTACGGTGTTGTCACAGCACTACACACACACACACCCCATCACAACACACACACACACACACACACACCACACACACACACACACACACACACACACACACACGCACACACACGCACACACACACACGCACGCACACACGCGCACACGCACACCTGCACATCGACGGGAGGTCACAGGTCATTGAGTGACCATGACCGGACAGTCGAGATGAATGAGCCGTTGCGGGACCATCGACACGTGACGTGACCAACGCGCACCGATAGGCACACAAGCAGGCGATCGACCACTAACATTCCCTGGCCCGGGCCTGGTGTCGCACCGGGACGGTGGGTGATGTCGCCGACTTCTTTACCTCCCGCACTCTTGGGAAGGTGGGCTGTGCGGGTACCCGGCTGATGTAAATGGCGGTCTGCATCTGCTGTTGTTCCGACCCGGAGCATACTGCCTACTGGAAATGGATGTTCTGTTATTGCTGTAGCTGTGCTGATAACACCTGTGGTTATTCGCAAAATAAAAGTGGAATAGTTTCAGAAAAGCCCTCGTGGAAGACCACTAACTCTCATGATGTGAAGCTTCACATGCTTTTGAGAAAATTGAATACAATATTTCACGTGCCTGAAGGGTCTCGCCAACCTAAGTTATGAAATCACCTGCAAGCCATATCAACTCATGCACTAAATCAATATCTTAACCGGAATCCCTTGCACAAGATTTACTGCACCCATACATCTTGGGCCTGAGCCTCAGATCAGCCATATGAGTTTCTGTAACACAGACTGAAATCCATCTCAGTCCCGATCGGATGCCTCTCGCAGATTCAGAGGAGACGCGTCAGCGGCTCCCAAACTTGTCATGTCCTGCTTTGCCACCCTTAACGCCCTTCATTTGCCACTGAAAGTGCTGCTTAGCTGCGCCAGCTCAATGACACGGAATAACTTGCTCTTTCATTTCAAGGGTGATACTATTAATGATGATTATGCTAATACTTCGGGCTTTACGTAGGTCAAGAGACAAAAAGAAAACAACAAAAAACAAAAAAAAAAAAAAAAA